CACACAAAGGCCAATCACCATATATACAAGAGCCAGGGTATGCTTTCTTTCACCGTGTTTGCTCGAGCTTGGGCTGAGAATAATAGCTGAAAAGAAAGCTGAGGGACCTAAATTTTTATGGCGGTGAATCCTGCTTCCCGGGGCGAAGGGGTTAAGTTAAAAATTGGTCTCATGAAATGTGCAGTACAGGTGCACAAACCAGTGCGTGCTCCTGACTCCTATCACTGGCTCTGCTATGTGAGATTGTGCACTGTCATTAATAGTTCCTTTCTTGCAGGTTGTAAGGCATACCTTCTGTTTCTCCTTCCTCACTGGAAATCAGGATGGAGCACCTGCCGTCGTTGATCTCGACATCTGGTGCTATCATCCCAAACTCTTGCTTAAATATCTGAATGAAAGAGGCAAAAGAATTGATGTTTACATACAACTGCAGGCCTTACTCATGTTACCCAAAACTACCAAAATAAAACCCCCAAACAAACAAATTGGAGGTATTACACCTCATACATATTTATGAGGCAAGTCCCTTTCACTTGTAAGTATTTTACGGTATCAAGGAATCAAGGATGAGAAATTCTGTTCCAACTGTTCAAAAGTCCTAACTCCTAGCTTTGCCATGTGATGGCAGTGTTGGTAGTGTTGGTGTGAGCTAAGGGACAAAAACTCCTTACTAAATGGGTCCCAGATTACCAAGCGTGCTGACGTTGTAGTTTCAGAAATCGGCAATCAGACTGGTGTAACAATTCGAGAGGGAGCTCATGGAGGCACGTCCACCCAAGAAGAGGTCCGTGCCCATTTTTTGCCTGTAGGTGACCCCCCCTGAAAAACTGTGGTCCAAATTTACCCCAAGAAGCCACTGACAACATCTCCGTCAAGCCACAAAATGTTCAGTGAAATACTATTACCAGCACTGCATGCTTTATACATCTGAAAGAAGCAGGCTTTAACCCATTCCAAAGTACTCTTAAAAGAATTTTATTGATTGAAATGTCCCTACCCCTTACAGGACGTTGTACAACGCAGTCAATTATACAAACCTTTTCTTCAAGAGCTTTGACCGTCATGGTATTCAGGTTTACCTTGACTGAGGCCTGGAAACAAATAATGTAATGGTAAATTGTATTTCTTTTCTACAGACGTTAAAAAAACCAACAGACTTCTATTCATCAATGTCTCATGCTACGTTTAAAAGGTAATGTTTAATCCAACCAAGAATTTAATAAAGAACATTTTGACTCGCTCTCTTTACTGCAATTTCAAATGCTTCCCATTCAGGGATTTCCCATGAAAATCTGGTTTGTTTCCTTTTTAAAAGTTGGGCAACGTGACAAGTAATATGGCATGATATCTGATTTGTTTATTTAGGTTGCCCCAGAAGCTTTGGCCTTTGTCCAAAGTCTTTATGCACCTATCTTCCTGGCTACAGGACTTGAAGTAGTGAAGAAAAGCATGTTGCTGGGCTACAAGTGTAGAAACAGTGATGCACATAAGCCACAAACCATCCTAGCAAGATCAAGAGCCAAGGAAATGGCCCCTGGATGCGTACCTCTGGTTTGGGTGCGCAGACGTAACATTTTGGATTGGGCTTGTCCAGTGGACACGTCAAGAAAAGTTTATTCCTCTCGTTTGGCGTCCTCTTCAGGAAAATCTGAAAGAAATACGAATTAGGAGGTGCTAAATTAAACAAAATGGCAACTTATATTTTCGCATGCTTATGTTTTTATCAAAAACACAAATGTAGCGCTATTACGTTAGAGTTCTAATCATAGCACGGTCACAAATTAAATCCAAAGGTATATCAAGGTTCTGGGTTCAGGGAAAGGACAGAATTTCCCTGAAATGGCAGTAGGCAGTATTTCCCTGAATGACTATTTGCTTTTTTTTCATCTTCCCCAAAAGAATCCTCTCCCCCAAAGATGCCAGAACTGTTTCTAAAGTGTGGTCACTTTCAGTAAAAAAACCCCCAGATCTTCAAGGAGCGGAGAAGGACAACTTCTCCCACCCTCCTCCTGGATATGTCATTGGTCAGATCACACAAGTCAAGACATAAATAATGGGAGGTGTGCAAAGACAAAGGGAATCTTGGTTTACAATCTACACAAACAACTTGTGACCTGAGATTGGATGACTTGGGATACGATTGTGAGTGACTAGTAGAGACTTGAAATGACGGACATACTAGGAGGTAGGGGACTCACCATTCTGCACTGGTCCAGTCGGCCTTGGAGAACTTTGAGTGCCTCCATGACGATCAGGCCCGCCACAACAGCGTTAGTGGTGGCTATTGCTGGAATAATGTTCCCTGCCATGGCTGCGATGAAATCACATGAATGGAATGGTTGGGGAAAGTGGTTTCATCTTGGGTTAAAAATTCTACATGTCGATATTGAAACTGCCTGTCCACTCAAATTGTTTCAGAGCGATACCCTTCAGTGTTATCAGAACCTTTTTTTCCATTGTGCTCAATGTTTAAGGAGGAAATGTAAAGATTTTAAATACCGGTATTCAAGATTTTTGTAAAGTACGGGGGCTTGTACGTGTACAGTATAGTTGCATTTTCTACAAGTGAAACGGCCTGGCCAAAATAAAATTGTTCTTGTATTTCCTCAGAACAGGAGGGCAGGTGGCTTGAGTATAGACAATGTGAATCAGTATGAATCAATTGAGCGAATAAAGTCAAATCTCTCAAGCCAATACACAACATCAGGCTAAAGTTTCATTTCCAGTGTCTGGAGCATGAAACGAATGATGGTGGATTGCGTCCCAATTACTTGGCTGTGGCTTAGAAGAGCATGAGGCTATGCCAAAGGCTGCAGCCACTGCCACCAGTCATGTGCAGTCTTTATCCCCAGCAAAGTAATTCAGACATGGCCTCATTCTTTTCCTCGTGGATAAAGTACGTTGATCAATGGTTGCACCCGGTGACTGATGGTACTGCGACTCTCAATGGAGAGGAACAAATGAGGGCAAAGTGCCCTACCCAAGGACACCACCACTTTGAGCTGTGGACACTCTTATCATAAATGTTACGCCTGCCCAACATTTAATACCAGCTAGCTAATGTACATGGATAAGTTTGTCTGCCAACTCACCTCCACGAATGAAAAAGTGTATATTCTTAAACTAAGCAGTTGGTGACCTCATGAATATGACAAGCACTGCCGGTGTGAATGTACGTCAGGTATGACAGACGAGTGTCCTTCTCCAATTGCTATGCATCCCTAACAATGGTATGAGATACTGAAAAGCAAAACTTACATTTGATGGTGAACCGTGTATTTCTTTCAATGCCGAAAATATAAGCCCTGATGTTGGAGGTGCAGGTTACGAAGTCCATTGCTGCCTCGTCATCCTGCAAAATACAATGAAACAAACATTCTTTTTCTGAGCCTCATTCAACTGAACACAATTCCATAAGCAACATGTATGTACATGCAGGCTGGTTTAATATTACAGCAGAGATGCATGCTGGTCATAAAGAAGGTTCCAATTAAACCTCTTTTGGAAACTAGAGAGTCTCTGAGCTGTGATTTTAAAAATAAACAATGCCTTTGGAAATACACCTTTGTATTTCATTTTCAAATTGAATTTCAATGTTTCTGTCTTTGAAAGGTATTTTGGTGCCTTGTTGGTTTTATGCTAATGCAGGTTTTTCATATTCATGAGGAAAAACTGTGACCCCATTCCAGGGAACCTCGGTGTTGCATTACACCCACCCACATTACAAACACCCACCCAAACAAGTTGCTGGAATATTTGTCATCTTTTGCTGGCCTAAATTTCCTCTGTTCGGGTGATTCATTGTTGTAGAAGTGCATGACGATAATAAGCCAACATGTAACACTTTCTCAGAAATGATTTTAACAAGGGCCTACGCAGTGTGCTTCCCACTTTGAAGTTTTGATATTGAAGTGTACAGTTTAGCAACAACATGAGGCTCAAGCATTAACCAGCACAATGACAACAGTGCTGCATGGTGCCTTTACATAGGGACCACGGAACATCAGTGCCCAGGGCTTCTGGACCACTTACATGTAACCTTGCATTTCAATTGTGAAGTAGAGTGTGCTGATGGCCAAATATTGATATTCAAAGTGAAGGATGTTTTGCTGCATATTTGCATCGAAATGGCTATACCAATTACAAGTATTTCCTCACCAGCTATAAGCTTACATGTACATCACAATCAGAAGATACTGCCTTCAGGAATACTTCCATGCTTATAAATTTCTAGGTGAAAAGTCAACAGGTGTGTGAACAGAGGAGATGTGTGCAACATGCGTCTCTAGCTAAATGGAATCTATCAAGCTGGGCTCTGTTGAGAGACAAACGACATGTATTTCAAGGACGTGTGCTTATAAAGTGACAACACACGATATGAACAGTACTGTATTTCTTTGATAAAATATGCACTGAACAAAGGACACATGATTAACAACCGGCATCCAGAACAGGGGTGAGCAGAGTTAACGACACTGTTCCAAGCTCTTGCAGTGAGATACTACAACAAAAAAGCCAAAACACTAACAAGAATGTCACATCCCATCAGTGTCACACCAGTGCACAGGCAACATGATACATGTAGGTCCCTAGACTATAGTCTCGGCCGTCATTAGTCCAAACACTGCCTCCATATCTCATCAGTCAGGGTCTTAACTCTAGACCCAGACAAAAATCAATAATAAAGTACTGTCAGGGCCACTGTATTCATCAATCCCTGTTAGCTTCAAGCAGCAGTAGGAACCAGACCACAGGGGTAAGAGCTGAGGACCAATTACAGGAAGGCCACTGATGGTTCATTGAGCAGAAAAGATCAGGTCTACATGTATACAAACAGTACTGGTGCATGCACATTGTTGTCTGCTGTACATTACCTCAATTACGATCTGGCATTCGAGTTTACAGTTTTGAATTTCCGACAAGTAAGGAGTCACAAAAACTCATTTTGTTGAGTCCCAGAGAACACAACCACCAGGACCGATCGGTTACAACTCCAGTGATCCAGAATGGCAAACAATGCAAGCACTGATATGACCACGTTTCAAGAGGATGACTCGCCAGTGCTGCGCGCCATCAGCGTGACAATTTTTATTCCAACTGCTATTCTAACACTGACTCTCAATCCACTGTGCCTGGTGGTCCTTCACCGAGTGACCAACATCCAGCCCACCAGCAAGATCTTCATTACATCCCTCACTGTCTCAGACATGGGTAATGGTATTTTCGATTTGATACCATATACTGTTTTGCGTGGCCTTGGATACTGGCCTTTTGGGTCATTTCTGTGCTACCTACGTATCATCTTGTTCAACCTGTTCTACCTCCAGAGTTTCCTGTCACTCTTCTTCGTAACTACTGACCTGTACCTTGCCATTGCCTACTGTTTACATTATCCGCGCTTGGTGACGGTTAAGAAAGCAAGAGGAATCACTGTCTGCAGCTGGACCACCAATTTAACAATTTCTATCCTAGCCACTATTTTTAGTGATACAAGCATATATAGCAGTTTCAAATGCAACAATACACTCAACGTTGCAGTGGACTTAGCAATATCTGGCTTCGTTCTGTTGGGAATGATCTTGATCTTAGCTATGTACTTGCACATTTTGGTGATTTCGCGACGTCAAGCACGACGCATCGCCCAAGAGAACCGACCAGCAGAGGGAGGAATTCCACCAGAAAGAATCAGCACCAAATCTTTCTTCACGGTTGCAATCATGTCTGCAGTGGTTGCAGTATGCTGGGTACCAGCCATCATAATCTGGTTTCTCCATGTGCTTGATACTTCCTACCCAGACACCCTGGACATTGTTGCGAACGTATTGTATTTCACCAAAAATTGGGTGAATGTTGTAATCTTTGGACTAAGAAATCGGGAATTCCGGCAGACACTTCGAGAAGTGGTGGCTTCTGGCTTGCATGCAATGGCTGGGAAATGCAGTGCTCTCATTCACTTAACAGATTAGGCAAAAAAAGCATCAGACAATAAAGACCCCCAGCAAAGCCAGCAAACTGATTCCAAGACCAGTAGGCATTGGGTCAACTCACAAGAAAAGACAACAAGAGATCTTTGATAGCACATAATGCAAGTAAGCATTACTCCGAAGCATACATTGTACCTATATATTTAACTGGAGATACATTTCTCTACACTAACACATGTACATGGATTGCACTTGACAGTTTTGAGGTATAAACAGATCTCCAATTTCTTCAGTTATACGTAAGTCTTACTTCAACATTCCATTTTTATGTCTACTTAACAACCATGTGTACCAGAATGAAGTCAAATCTGCAAATGAGGCAGTAGAGCCATTACTACTTGGACTACCCAGCACCTCAATTGAAGTTTTATTGCTGCTCTACATTTTAATGTTATTAAAGTCAGATCTCTCTAGACTGACAAGCTGTCATCTTGAAAGATATTGCTGTAAAGGCTGTAACAATGAACCTGTTATCTACAATGACAAGGGTCAACAGGGTACCTCAGGAGCAGGAAAATGTTATGGAATTTAGAAACACTGCCTTTGTCAATTACGTGTATGACAGGAAAATATCATGTGTACGTAATACATCCCACTTGCCACAGACTTTGATGCCAATTGGGGGCTGCCTCTCAGGTTCGCAGTGTCACACTGCTGCCCTGTGAAAAGCCACAGATGCTGTTCAGTTGTGGTCTGTCGCTGAGGACACAATTATTCTGAGATCAGAACTCAAGAGTTACAGCTCCAAATAGGGCAAAATGGCTAACAATGCAAGCTTGGGTGACATGCTTGCCTTTTCAGAGGAAGAATGGACAGTATTGAGGACCCTGACTGTGGCAATTTACATTCCAACAGCCATCCTAATATTGACCCTCAACCCACTGTGCTTGGTAGTCCTACGACGAGTGACCAACATCCAGCCCACCAGCAAGATCTTCATGGTCTCCCTGACCGTATCTGACTTCGGTACCGGTATTTTTGACATGGTTGCAGATATGATTTCACTCATTGTTGGATACTGGCCTTTTGGGTCTTTTCTGTGCTACGTGCATGCAACTTTGGTATACTTGTTCTACTGCCAATGCTTACTGTCATTGTTCTTTCTAACCATCGATCAGTACCTCGCTATTGCCTACTGTCTACATTATCCATGCTTGGTAACAACCCAGAGATCAAAAATCCTTGTTCTCAGCAGTTGGACTGCTGTTGCAACAGTTTGTATCCTAGGCACTACTCTTAGCGACCGAAGTCCATATGCTGATTTCCAGTGCGTGAATACAGTTGTCACAGCACTAGACCATACAGTATCTATCCTTGCCCTTCTTGGACTGGTCTCCATCCTGATTATGTACTTGAACATTCTGGTGATTGCTCGACGCCAGGCACGGCGCATCGCCCAAGAGAACCGACCGGCATTGGAAGGCTTTCCAGTACGGAGAACCAGCACCAAATCTTTTGCAAGGGTTGTAATCATGTCTGTGGCAGTTGCGGTGGGCTGGTTACCAGCCACGATAATCAGCACTCTCGGTGAGCTTGGTATCTACTACCAGCCAGGCGTGATCAGAGTTATGCACTGCCTGTATTTCACTAATAACTGGCTGGATGTTGTAATATTCGGTTGCAGAAATAAGGAATTCCGGCAGACACTTCAAGGTATGGCGGCTAATTGCTTGGGGACAATGTCCGGGAAGTGCAATTCCTGCATTCACCCAACAGAGTAGGCAATAAAGCCCTCAGCCTGTCTCCTCAATGCTCAAGTTTCCCTTCCCTGGTGACAAACACTGAGACTCGGACCTCCACTGAACACCACTGGTACCCATGCATCAGGCACCAATTTGCGGCAGATTTCCAGATGTGATGTGTCATCTCAAGGAAGATCGTTGGTTGGTGCAGGTAATTAGCTTCATCTTTTGTAAGCACGCAGATCCTGCAGACTTACTGCAAGACCTGAAGGAGTGGTAATACGATGTCTACTTGTAAGAAACAGGTCTACTTAGACATTACTAATAGAACAAGCAAGCTAACGCTGTGCAGAGTCACAACAAATGTTGATGGCATGCATGTAAACTAGTGACCTTAGAAATACATGTGCATCGTACGCCACGAGGGCACTTGTACAATGACAAACAGCATGTCGCTCATGTGCCCTCAATCAATGCACAGATGGACAAGAAGTTTTGGATTGAGTAACAGCTGGACTGCCGTGTAACAGCGCGCAGAAGCGTTGCGTCTGCGCGTAACTTAATAAACAATGAAATTCTTTGTTCGCATTTTTGAATTGTTTGGTCTTATCCTGTGTGATGGTACAAGTTCGGGAAAAGAAAACCAAGTAAATAGAAAAATTGAAATTTTTGAAAATTTTATCTAA